TGGATGGATGGATGGATGGATGGATGGATGGATGGATGGATGGATGGCTGGATGGATGGATGGATGGTCTGCCTGTTGTTAGCATTCTATCATTAAAGGGTTAGCGGGGGAGCTACTGTAATCATATGAAAGCAGGATGTTACAGGATGGATGGATGGATGGATGGATGGATGGATGGATGGATGGATGGATGGGTGGGTGGATGGATGGGTGAATGGATGGATGGATGGATGGATGAAAAGATGGATGGATGAGTGAATGGATGGATGGATGGATGGATGGTCTGCCTGTTGTTAGCATGCTATCATTAAAGGGTTAGCCGAAGAGCTACTGTAATCATATGAGAGCAGGATGTTACAGGATAGATGGATGGATGATGGATGGATGGATGATGGATGGATGGGTGGATGGATGGATGGATGGAGGGATGGATGGAGGGATGGATGGAGGTTAATTTCAGGTGGATGTAAATGGTTTGTTTAAGATTTGTTTCTATTTATGCTCTGATGCTCTTTTTTTAGGGCAGATAATTAGTCATTGAAATGGTCTCAGTTACTTCCATTTCCCTGTTTTTGTCTTTAATTCTTTAGCATCATTGATGTTAATCAGAATTAGTTTCTGTGTCTCACAGCTTGATGAATGAAGATGAATATAAACGTATCTATAATTGAGAAAAAAGTCAATGTTCTGTCCAGACATTAAATCAAATTTAAATAAAAACTGTTTTATGAGCTGTTTTATTGCTGTCGGTTTTGCAAATATTGGAGATGAAAGAACAAATCTCTGACCAAAGATCAACTTAAAAATCCTCCCATTCCTCCATTTTCCCTCTGGGCTGCCACCATCCTGAGATGGTTCTCAGTGTGAACCATTTACTGCAGGGCATCATGATCCTGGTCTGACCCTAAAACGGGGGAAAGCTTAACAACGGTCAGCTTGGACTTGTTTTTAGACAGCAGGTGGTCTTTGTGCTTTTTAGTCAGCAGCTTAATTTCAGAGAAAAGAAATCCAAAATTGTTTTTTATCAGGTAAGATTTGTCTCAAAAAGTAAGAAAAAGCTTATTTTTTCCCTTATTTTGCCAAGCATTACATTCTGATTTTTTTTTTTTTGTTAATATATTTGAATCTTTTATCATAATAGCTTCCTTTAATATGCATTCCTCCCTGTTTAGTTCAAACCCTCTAAGACACTTTTTGTTTGCTTTTACTGGTCAAATCTCAGTTTTTTTAAATCGGCTAATCATTTAATAATTTTGAGATCATTCTGTTTAACTGCATGTGATTGGATTCCGTCACAGATATATATAGAAAGTTTCCAAAAAATAACAGAGGCCTTGTTTTGCGCCCCTCTGCTGGACTTAAACTGGTTCCAAAGTCTGTGCTGTCACACCTACAAACGCTGTGACTCATTTCCAGTTTAATGTCAGATGTCAGGCACACCCAAACTCAAGGATTACAATGTTTTCGAAGAGTAGATCCACCTTAAATCTCACCGAACCAGACAGCAGCATGCTATATCCCACCAAACAGCCACTGTGCTGTCGGATAAAACCTTTATCATCACTTCATTTGCTTATAATATCACGGTTTTATTAAAATTTGACCACCGTTTAACGATCGTGTGACGCAAAACGCCTCTTTTTGCTCGCTCAACATGAGGGAAACAAGCCTGGAAAGCTGCTGTCACAGAGATGGTGACTTCATGGTCCGGGTTCTGCACACTGCCCAGATCCAGGGTGTGAAGAGGGAAAAAACTGCTCACTCCACGTGAGAGAAGACGGGGGAGTCACACACAACAAACGAGCAGCAGACACACAAAAAGGGACGTTTCAGGTGGAGCAGCAGGCAGGAAGTTTTCAATCAATCAGGTTTATTTGTATAGCTCTTTATAATAGGCGAAAGGTACCCACAGTTCTTTACAACAAAGCCATAAAAAGATACATAACACATACAAAACATACAGATACAATTAAAAGCGATGTAGTGGTGCAGGACATTAACACATCAAGTCAAGTCAAATTTTATTTATAGAGCACATTTAAAATAACTGAAGTTGCCAAAGTGCTATACAGGTAAAAATAAACATAAAAAGCTAACATAATTGACATACATATATGTGATTTTAATGTAAAATAAAAAGGTAAAAAGGTGGTCTACTTCAACCTACGGTTACAATGTTAAAAGCCATGTCAAATAAATGAGTTTTTAAAGAGGACTTAAACACCTCTACGGTCCGGGCAGATCTTATATTGAAAGGCTGTTCCAGAGCTTTGGGGCCACACTAAAGACTCAATCGCCTTTTGTCCTCAGTCTGGATTGAGGGACCCCCAATGTTTTCTTGGGAGCGTAAAAGTGCAGAAGGTCAGTTAGATATTGTGGTGTAAGCCCACGTACGGCTTTAAAAACTAACCCGTACCTGTACCCCCCCACAACTTCTGTAGTCCCTCTACCTCTATCTCTATCTCAGCACTGACTCTGATCAGTGTTTCTCCTCTATATAGCTTATTGTCATAATGATGAGAAATGTAATATTGCGTCTACTCTGTAAGTCGCTTTGGATAAAAGCGTCTGCCAAATGCATAAACATAAACATAGACGTCTGATGTTAGTTACAGTGGGGGAAATAAGTGTTTGACCCCTTGCTGATTTTGCAGGTTTGCCCACTTACAAAGAATGCAACGATCTATAACTTTAATCATATGTACATTCTAACAGTGAAAGACAGAATCCCAAAGAAAATTCCAGAAAATCACACCATATGAATTTATAAAAATTGATAACCATCTGATGAGGAAAAATAAGCATTCTTTGTAAGTGGGCAAACCTGCAAAATCAGCAAGGGGTCAAATACTTATTTCCCCCACTGTATATATCAGAACGGTTGAAAAGGGAAATGGAAAAGCAGGTTCTCTAGGAAGGGGGCAGGTCCATCCACCCAACATCCACTCCCCTCTCCCACCTTTCTCCCTCTCTCTCCCCCTGGCAGAGTCTCTCTCTCTCTCTCTTTCTCTCTCTCTCTCTCTCTTTCCCCCTGGCAGAGTCTCTCTCTCTCTCTCTCTCTCCCTCCCTCTCTCTCTCTCCCTCCCTCTCTCTCTCCCTCCCTCTCTCTCCTCCCTCCCTCCTCTCTCTCAGTCTGCAGGACTCCGGGATCAGGTCCGGACCCTTTTCTTTTCTTTTCTTTTCTTTTCTCGGCTCTTTTCTCTGGTGGAAGCAGGAAGATGCGGGCTGTCGCGGTGCTGTGCGCGCTGCTGTGCGCGCACGTGCGCGCGCTGGACCCGGACCTGCGCGCGCCGGTACCGGACCTGGACCCGGACCGGGACCCGGGGAAGGACCCGGGGAAGGACCCGGAGTCCCCGCTGCTGCGGCCCAAGGTGCTGGTGGCCGTGGTGGCCCGGAACGCGGCGCACAGCCTGCATCACTACCTGGGCTGCATCGAGAGGCTGGACTACCCCAAAGACCGCCTAGCCATCTGGTGAGAGACCCTTTAAAGCCTGATCCAAGATAGATAGGAAGAATATTGGATTTTTTTTAGTCTGAAGTCTGAAGACCCACACAGAGGTATTTCTCTGTTTCACATTTAGATGATCACTAGAATGAAGCATCTGTTCTCGTCATGCCAGTAAAAAGAAAAGCATCGACAAGGCTCAGAAAGCTTTGGTTTAGGAAACATATACAGTGGGGGAAATAAGTATTTGACCCCTTGCTGGTTTTGCAGGTTTGCCCACTTACAAAGAATGCAACGATCTATAACTTTAATCATATGTGCATTCTAACAGTGAAAGACAGAATCCCAAAGAAAATTCCAGAAAATCACATCGTATGAATTTATAAAAATTGATAACCATCTGATGAGGAAAAATAAGCATTCTTTGTAAGTGGGCAAACCTGCAAAATCATCAAGGGGTCAAATACTTATTTCCCCCTCTGTATGAAGAAAAAAAAAAGAAATTATTTTGATCAAATTAGCATGCAGTAAGTCAGAAATGTATTTTTGTGTATCTTCTACTGGCTGTTATCAGGTATATCTGAATGTGTCCAACAGGGGTTTGAGCAAAGCTTTTACCACTGAATGATGCAAAAAGTCTCAGATCCAAAAGACTTCAGAAACCGTATCAGATATGATACATTTGGCATTATAGGGATAACAGAAGCTGACCCCACTGTTTGAGTCTTGACCTGTGGACCTTTAACCCTTTAAAGCCCGATCCAAGAAAGATAGGAAGGATATTGGATGTCTTTAGTCTGAAGTCTTTCTTTGGCCCCTCAACAACATGTGAAGAAAAGAAAACAAGAAATTATTTTGATCAAAATAGCGTGCCAAAATATGAAGTGAGAGCAACCAGCACGTGCCATGCAACATATCAAAGTAAAACAAATCATAGTACATTTTACACCAGTCTGAGTCTGAAATGAGACGAAAAGTCTGCCCTTCATTCTGCATCTGTATTAAACAATCCTCAAGAATTAGACAAAATATGAGGAGGACTTCTCTTAGACCTTGAAAGAGGAAAGGACCTTTAATTCTTTAAAGCCCGATCCAAGAAAAAAAGGAAGAATATTGGATTTTTCTTAGTCTGAAGTCTTTCTTTGGCCCCTCAACAACATGTGAAGAAAAAATAACAAGAAATTATTTTGATCAAATTAGCGTGCAATGAGTCAAAAATGTATTTTGGTGTAGTCTTCTACTGGCTGTTATCAGGTATATCTGAATGTGTACAACAGGGGTGTGAGCAAAGCTTTTACCACTGAATGATGCAGAAAGTCTCAGATCCAAAAGACTTCAGAAACCGTATGAATCAGATATGACACATTTGGCATTATAGGGATAACAGAAGCTGACCCCACTGTTTGAGTGGGGTCGGCTGCCACTCTTTTTTCTAAACAACAACAGAGAGAAGCACTGGTGGAACAATGACTGCGTTTCAGAGCTTTTAAATGGCGATTCCTTTATGATTGTTCCACTTTGAAAAACCTTTATTATTAACCTTCTGTGGTTGCGTTGGTTAGGGGAATGACATGTTTTACGGGGTTTAACTCAAACAACTCGGTGTCTCTGTGTTGTCATCCTCATTGTCAAGTCAAGTCAAGTCAAACTTTATTTATATAGCACATTTAAAATAACCAAGCTTGCCAAAGTGCTGTACATAAAAGCATGTATATGTGATTTTAATGTAAAGATAAATAAATAAATAAATAAATAAATAAATAAATAAATAAATAAATAAATAAATAAATAAGATAAATAAAAAAGGTAAAAAGGTGCTCTACCTCAACCTAAGGTTAAAATGTTAAAAGCCATGTCGAATAAATGGTTTTTTAGCCTGAATGCCAGCCTGAATGCCAAACCACCTCTAAATGAAGAGCAGCCCCCCCCTGAACGGGATCTGAAACTGGAGTTTCTGCAGAGGTGGCTGTGTGTAAACGTGTTTGTGACCAAGTTACAGGAAAAAGGCAGCGTGTGTCCGCCTTTATTAACAAACGTCAGCATTTGATGGAGACCTGTTGCTGCCTTTTTACCTTTTTTACGACGCACTCAGCTCGCGTGTGTACCGGCAGCAGATTGCAGAGTTTTAGCCGGAGATGAAAGCGGGGGCCAGGCTTCACCTTTAATCACAGCCCGGCGCACCTAGTTCAGCACAAACGGGCGGAAACGGGCCTTTAAAACAGCAGGGCTGGCAGGAATCTGGGGTGTGTGTGTGTGTGTGTGTGTGTGTGTGTGTGTGTGTGTGTGTGTGTGTGTGTGTGTGTGGTGGGTCCTGTGCTTTGTGAGGATTTGCACTCATACGAGACAAAAAGGGAGCCTGCAGGTGAAGGGATGAAAGGAGACATTGAGCCGGTCTGACAGCAGGGGGACAGCTTGTGTGGGTTTGTGTGTGTTTTTGTGGGTTTGTGTGTGTTTTTGTGTGTTTGTGTGTGTTTGTGTGAGCTCTGGGAAGGCATGCGTAAAACGTGTGCATGTGCCACTTTGTAATCTGAAACGAGGTCTCAGTAGTTTAAACACCAGATAGAAGATCCAAAAGATTTTTATATATTTACTAAGAACAATACTGATTATTAAGTTGCAGATTGAATATAGAAAATGACCAAACATTAGCACCAAAGGGTGACGCTTTAGTTTTGTTTCTTTTTTTTCTCAAATTATTTTTATTGAAACAAATGATAAGATAATACCATTAAGGAATACAGTTCATTTGGATAAACATATACTTGTGCAGGTATAACTTTTAATATATAAATACAAGTATAAATGTTGAAGTAGTCACACCTACTACATATACAAAAAAATAAAAATAAAACAAAATAAGAACAACAAAAGAAGTTTTTTCAAGTTTAAGAAAAAACACCATGTCCTTAAGCCACTGGGTGATGGAGGGATATCTAGCAGACTTCCAGTGTTTAGTTTTGTTTCTATCTCCTTTCTTGGTTTGGTTCTTGTTTGTATGGAGCCTGTTTCTAGTTCAGAGACCCTGGCAAAAGTGCCGGAGGGTTTTGTGATGGGTTTAAATAATAAAAGGCAGGCCCTGTAGTCGGGAGCAGCCCATTTTTGCTTTGCAGGAAGAAAATCATCTCAGAATTCTTGTAGTAGTTTAATCATTTAATACATTTTAAAAGACTACGGTTAATTAAACACACACAAAGTGAGGTTAAACGCATAAAATACTCTGATATTTACATGGTGAACGTACACAGGATGCTTTAAATGCAGAGATTATTTGCAAAGGCGTGTTGACACAAGCCTCTTCAACACGTGGAGGACAGAAATATGTGAGCGACTAATGGGTTGTCGGATATTTGGATAATAACAGCAAACAGGGAAAAACCAGCCTGTAACACGGGCTGCTGTTTGGTTTCTCTGAACAACAACAGAGAGAAGCACTGGTGAAACAATGACAGGGTTTCAAAGCTTTTTAGTGGCGATTCCTTTATGATTGTTCCACTTTGAAAACCTTTATTGACTCTCTGTGGTTGCGTTGGTGAGGGGAATGACATGTTTTACGGGGTATAACTCAAACAACTCAGTGTCTCTCTGTTGTCATCCTCATTGTGGCTCAGTCTGAATGCCAAACCAACCTCTAAATGAAGAGCACCCCCCCCCCAAAGCCATGCCAGCCACTCAGTGGTGCTCACAGAGTTAATGCTAATGCTAATGCTAATGCTAATGCTAATGAGACGAATTCAGTCTGAATCCTGGATGTCAGCCTTTGCCAGATCTTCTGAGTCTTTGACTCGAATGTTGGGGAAATCTCGAAAAATCACTGGACCAACTTTAGATGATCATTTATTTATTTATTTATTTATTTATTTATTTATTTATTTATTTATTTATTTATTTATTTATTTAATGATTTATTTATTAATGATTTATTTATTTATTTATTTATTTATTTATTTATTTATTTATTTATTTATTTATTTATTTATTTATTTATTATTTAA